AGTACAACTCAAGTTGTAAGCAGGTTGCATGCGACAGTTTTAGGCAAAAGTTGTGTAGTGTAAATCGGTCTTTATACATTCTCTACAATTTGTATTTTGAAACTGAATTTTTCTTTCGTCTTTTTAGAAAGTATCAATTACATATTCGGCCTGACCGAAAGCCAGAAATGTTTCATTGCTGTAACCTACCTTCTTGCTCTCTGGAAATTACATGGAGCTAGACTCTGGTAAGATACACTGACTTTATAAATAAAACTAAACTAACTTTATTTCTCCTGGATAGCTCTATCAGGTCTAAACTATTCTCCGTATGGGTTAAGTGAGGGCCAAAGAGGAAACCAGGGTACCTGGAAACGATCTGTGGGGTTTGGCACTCGTCTTGCATGCGACGAAATTTGATCAGCTAACTGCATCTTGCACTGGAAATTGAACCTCTGTCTCAGAAGTGGAGGGCATATGCACTGATTATTTCCTTTCTACTATTCCTACAGGCCGATCATCTTCAAAGTTATCTGCAAGTTGTTTGGTAAACCTAAGAGAGCAATACTTCGAAAGATCTCCACAAATCCATCTGAGAAAACCATCCATGTCCAGAATGACATAGCACGTGATGAGCATGTGAACACTGACGATTTAACTACCGACTCATCGTGCGAAAGTCATGTGACTGCTGATGAAGAAACAACCGACTCATATGATAGTCACGTGGAGAGTGATGAAGAGTCCACTGACTTATCATGTGAGGAACACGTGGACACTGACTACGACAGCGTTACAACCAGTAGCAGTGTTGATGATCTACCAACAGCCACACCCAACAACCAGACCATTCCACCCACTACCATCCCAACACAGTTGAAACTCTCTCTCAGTTTCAACAGTTCGGACAGTTTATTCGAGGAGAGCTGTGATGAAGATTTCCCAGACGAATTCTTCGTATTTCCAAGCGACTGTGGTAACATCGGATTGATACTGGGTGACGAGGACTGGGAAAAAATAGAACTTGACTCAAGTCAGGAGTCTTTGATTTCGGATGATGGTGGTACTGCTAGTACCGGTATAGAGTCAGGACAGAGTTATGATGTGGCCTGTGATGTAGATAGCGGAGCTTCTTCTCACAGTTCTTGTCATAGCCCTGTTCCTAAGGAGGTGGTATCCTGCTTGAGTTGTAGTTCTGATGGAGACCCAGTCACCGTGGCAACAACAAGTGGTTGTAATGGCTGGATTGAAGAAAGTCATCAAGAGAATGGTGATATGAACTGTGGTAACCATGGTAATGTTGACCAATGGATTCTGGGATGTCGTGACAGTAACAACCATACACCATCTAATGGTTGTACCAGCAATGTCAATTATGGTGATGAATCGACCGACAGCAGCTTGTACGATTGTGATCTGACCAGTGAAGGTTTATACGAGGATAGCTTGGAGCTCTACCCAGGTTTGTGTAAACATTGCTTCACCATATTATCCCACCGCCACACAATCCCTAACCAAACGATCGCCAGACCACGCGACTGACAGACCACCTGATTACCTACCTACCCAACTAAGTAACTAAATACTAACTTACTAACAAACTATACTAAATACTAATGTGCTCTTATTAACTCTAATCAGTTATTTTCATTTCATGAAGGTGAATATGCTGAACATGGAATCAGTTTGCAGCGATCAGAATCTGAAAGTGACATTCGTATTGAAGTCTACAACAACATTGAACCAGAAAATCTGCCAGTTGGTGATATCAATAGATGGCTGTCAGCACACAATGAAAATGAAATCGTCGAAGAAAATATCATGGACACGACATTGGAACAACGTGTGAAAAACCACGTTGTTGCTGCAGCTATCGTTGCTGGGACATTTGTACTGCCCTGTTTTATTGCGGGCAAACTCTTGAAATAAGGGATTTTAATATTTTTATACTACTTTAATGACTTCTCTAAGTTATACATCTACATAATGGTTGAATATCAGAATTCCGTATATGAAACACAGGGGAGGGAGGGATTAGGACTTCTCTTATATATCTAAAGTAACAATTTATTGAGTAATACCGTATATTTGTATATAAAATACATTTGTATATTTATTGGCTTAGGCTGCAATGACAATATAATACTGAATATTTTAAGTATATTTGTTGTGTGGATTTGTCTGTGTTTTCGAACCATGATAAAAATACCTAGAGACATTCCGTTTTCGCGGTAAACAAGAGTTAAGGCTGTTTCCACTTCAACCGTATCGAAACGTAGCGTATTTCTTTGTTTCCTGAGTGGTAGTGTGGAACTATTGACTTTGACACAAAAGAAAATGCTACGATACGTTACGATACGGTTGAAGTTGAAAACGGTATCATAAAATAACATGTATATAACGCGTGCTCTGATTGGTCGAAACCCGTGTTTGGATCAGGCCATCCAGTGAAAGTTTTTTAAAGTGAAATGTTAACACGGAAAGTTGTTATTTTATAAAACAATTACTTTATGGTTTCCGTGTTTGGATGGCCTGATCCAAACACTTGGGAATGTTGCTCGAGTTAAGAAAAGCGCGCAAAATCACTCGCCTTCGGTTCGTGTTTCGCGCGCTTTTCTTAACTCTCGCAACATTCCCGCGTGTTTGGATCAGGCCATCCAAACACGGAAACCATAAAGTAATTGTATATTTACAGTCGAACCCTATGCCCACACATTCCAGACCCTCTTTAACATAGACAACGGGCCAAATTGGGAACAGTGCAAGATAGTCGTACTGAACAATATTCGAAATGGACACCATCGAAAATTTATAATCTATCTCATAAGCCAAGTAAGAATCGATTATTTGAGTGTTATAATTTATTTGAATTTATCCTACCTATAAATATTTCTAATGGGTCCATTGTGATCGACATTTTTTAAATTAATGTAAGAGATCCAGACTGACTCTACCAAACACCACTTGCGTTCTTTCTGCAGTAACACTGGACCAAAAAGAAATAGCCGTACAGCAAGGGTGGATAGTAGCGAAGTAGTTGTAGTTCGCTACTGTAGCAACTACAATTTTCAATTCTGATATTTACCCATACACCTTGATGTCGGACACCCTACAGTCCAGTGGTAAGGGACCGGTCATTATTTATAGGGGTGGTACCGAAAGAGAAAAGGGTTGGGTAAACAACATTTTGAGTGAGTAAAAGTTTGGGTAATGATAAACAAACAACTCAAGGGTTGGGTAATAAAAATGTATTGCCATTTCTAAAGCATGACTCACTCAAATTTTGAAGACTTTTGAGCAGTGTCAACAGTCATATGTCAATACAATATGTGAATCAATCAGAGTCACTATCTTGATCATTTATCAGGAGGCGAATGGCGTCCACAAAGAAAGTACATGTGCAGACAACATGAAATTTAGAACGTCACAGAAGTGGTAAAGGACATGCGTGACACCTGAATGCCGGTATCCTTTTGGCCTGGGATGGATATTTAGTTTTAAATAAATTAATATTTGAGGTTGGGTAAATTTTAAAAACTTTTCATGGTTGGATGACTTGGATCAGCAACATTTTTCCCAAGAAAATACGGTGCCACCCCCAAAAAAAAATAATGACTGGTCACCTAAAACAATCGAACCGGCAATCGGAAGACATGGGTTCCGGTTCCCATTGGGGGAGTTCAGATACTTTTATGAATACAACAGCTTGAGCACTACAATCTTTATTTAATATATACAGCAAATTCAGTTATCTGAACGAATTTTTTCGTTTTAAAAAACCGAAATCAAAAGTGAACTCGGTGACACTTTGCGCTAGATGTTTTCGCCAATTTCACGCGCGTAACGTGAATTACACGCGTGACCAATTGTCCAATTATCCAATTACATGACGTAACAATCAGAAATTGACGTTGTTTCCAAGCAACTATCATTTCGCACAATTTTTTCTCGAGAAGAAGTTCTAAAATTGTGCGCTCTTGAAAAATGTTTTTATGCGAAGATTTAGCGATTAAAATAGTATTTTCAATACTTTTCCTGTCTTCGACAGGCAACGACAATAAGTCGATGAACGCCGAACATGGGTTCGTGAGTTCCTTCGCCACAAATAACAACATTGTGAGCGATGCTAATCAAGGACAAAGCAAGCTACAAAAATCCATCACTGATAGCTTTGCTGAAAGTTGTCCTTTTTATTTAAACACTTCAAAGCAGTGTTTTCCAACTTTAAAGAAGAACAACAGTTCATTTGAACTTTACAATCTGACAGAACAAGCAAAGAAACAGAATCTAACTGCCGAACGGAAAAATCTACGACTTTTCGGTAAGGGCTTTATATTAGTCGAAAAAACTTTTTTTTGCAAAACGTTTTTTATTTCTCCGATAAACTTTATACAAGTTTTGTTTTGTTTTCTGAAATTGTTTTAAATCCACACGATCAAACATTTTTGTCTTCCCTACAATATTCTGTTTATAGTCTAAAGATTTTATCAGCTTTTTTTCTTCAACTTTCACAGTTTTTGTGATTTTTTTTTAAAGTGTTTGTATTTTTCAAATCAAACCAACTTTCATTCCGGAAATATTTTGTCTGTTTTCGTATTTCTAAGCGAATTTCATTCAGTGACTTCGCTCGCACATTTCTATACTAAAATATATAATTAAATGGATTTATTAAATTATATAAAACATTAAAACTGTATATTTAAAAGATTGTTTATCAATGCCGTACATCAAGATTCTGTTGAGTTATTTTCCAATTTAACAGTGAATAAAATAATTATAATTTATCTATCACAAATACAAATATTTTCTACTATGTAGCATATCAATGTCAATTTTTTTCGGTATATTTTAGCTGAAACATCAAGCGGAAATAATCAGACCGGCATTGGCTTAAAAGTACAGGCATTCTTTAATGGTAAGACTAAATCTTTAATTTAAATGTATTCTTTTTTGACCTTATTCCTTACCCTTTTTTATTGTCGATTTCATATTACTTTTCAAAATCAAACCGCGGTTCCCAAGTTTGTTGTCAACTTGCCAATTACGTTTCCAAATTCGGAAGTTGGGTGGGAACTTCGCAACGAAGTTCACTTCAAAATTCGAACTTCGATTGTAAACAAATGTAAAAATTTCATTTATAAATTGATTTAAAAAGGCATTTTTCGTCTTGGAAGACCACTGGACCAATATTTTACTGCAGTAAATATGTGCATAGGGCCTTATACAGTAATTTTAACTCCAACTATGAACATTTGTTTACAATCAAAGTTCGAACTTTGAAATGAACTTGCGAACTTCGTTGCGAAGTTCACGCCCAACTTCCGAACTTGACAACGTAATTGGCAAGTTCGCAACGAACTTGGGAACAGCGTGTTGAAAAGTTACCTGAAATCGACAATAAGGCTGATTTACACTACACAACTTTAGCCTAAAACTGTCGCATGCAACCTGCTTACAACTTGAGTTGTACGGTGTTGTTTATTTGTACTGTATAAATCAGGCATACAACTATGAGTACAACTCAAGTTGTAAGCAGGTTGCATGCGACAGTTTTAGGCTAAAGTTGTGTAGTGTAAATCGGTTTTTATACATTCTCTACAATTTGTATTTTGAAACTCATTTTTCTTTCGTCTTTTTAGAAAGTATCAATTACATATTCGGCCTGACTGAAAGCCAGAAATGTTTCATTGCTGTAACCTACCTTCTTGCTCTCTGGAAATTACATGGAGCTAGACTCTGGTAAGATATACTGACTTTATAAACAAAACTAAACTAACTTTATTTCTCCTGGATAGCTCTATCAGGTCTAAACTATCCTCCGTATGGGTTAAGTGAGGGACACACCCAAGAGGAAACCGGGGTACCTGGAAACGACCTGTGGGGTTTGGCACTCGTCTTGTATGCGACGAAATATGATCAGCCAACTGCATATTGCAGGAATCGAACCTCTGTCTCAGAAGTGAAAGACATATGCAATAATTATTTCCTTTCTACTATTCTTACAGGCCGATCATCTTCAAAGTTATCTGCAAATTGTTTGGTAAACCTAAGAGAGCAATACTTCGAAAGATCTCCACAAATCCATCTGAGAAAACCATCCTTGTCCAGAATGACATAGCACGTGATGACCATGTGAACATTGATGATTTAACCACCGACTCATCGTGCGAAAGTCACTTGACTACTGATGGAGAAACGACAGACTCATGTGATAGTCACGTGGAGAGCGATGAAGAGTCCATTGACGTATCGGGTGAAGAACACGTGGACACGGACTACGACAGCATTACAACCAGTAGCAGTGTTGATGATCTACCAGCCACATCCAACAACCAGACCATTCCACCCACTACCATCCCAACACAGTTCAAACTCTCTCTCAGTTTCAACAGTTCGGACAGTTTATTTGAGGGGAGCTGTGATGAAGATTTCCCAGACGAATTCTTCGTATTTCCAAGCGACTGTGGTAACATCGGATTGATACTGGGTGACGATGACTGGGAAAAAATAGTTGACTCAAGTCAAGAGTCTTTGATTTCGGATGATGGTTGTACTGCTAGTACCGGTATAGAGTCAGGACAGAGTTATGATGTGGCCTGTGACGTAGACAGCAGAGCTTCTTCTCACAGTTCTTGTCATAGCCTTGTTCCTAAGGAGGTGGTATCCTGCTTGAGTTGTAGTTCTGACGGAGACCCAGTCACCGTGGCAACAACAAGTGGTTGTAATGACTGGATTGAAGAGAATGGTGATATGAACTGTAGTAACAATGGTAATGTTGACCAATGGATTCTGGAATGTCGTGACAGTAACAACTATACACCATCTAATGGCTGTACCAGCAATGTCAATCATGGTCATGAATCGACCGACAGCAGCTTGTACGATTGTGATCTGACCAGCGAAGGTTTATACGAGGATAGCTTGGAGCTCTACCCAGGTTTGTGTAAACATTGCTTAACCACATTATCCCACCGCCACACAATCCCTAACCAACCGATCGCCAGACCAAGCGACTGACAGACCACCTGATTACCTACCCAACTAAGTAACTGAATACTAACTTACTAACAAACTATACTAAATACTAATGTGCTCTTATTAACTCTAATCAGTTATTCTCATTTCATGAAGGTGAATATGCTGAACATGGAATCAGTTTGCAGCGATCAGAATCTGAAAGTGACATTCGTATTGAAGTTTACAACAACATTGAACCAGAAAATCTGCCAGCTGGTGATATCAATAGAAGGCTGTCAGCCGACATTGAAAATGAAATCGTCGAAGAAAATATCATGGACACGACATTGGAACAACGTGTGAAAAACCACGCTGTTGCTGCAGCTATCGTTGCTGGGACATTTGTACTGCCTTGTTTTATTGCGGCCAAACTATTGAAATAAGGGACTTTAATATTTTTATACTACTTTTAATGACTTCTCTAACTTATACATCTACATAATAGATTGAATATCAGGAATTCCGTATATGAACATCAGGGAGGGATTAGGACTTCTCTTATATATCTAAAGTAACAATTTATTGAGTAATACCGTATATTTGTATATAAAATACATTTGTATATTTATTGGCTTAGGCTGCAATGACAATATAATACTGAATATTTTAAGTATATTTGTTGTGTGGATTTGTCTGTGTTTTCGAACCATGATAAAAATACCTAGAGACATTCCGTTTTCGCGGTAAACAAGAGTTAAGGCTGTTTCCACTTCAACCGTATCGAAACGTAGCGTATTTCTTTGTTTCCTGAGTGGTAGTGTGGAACTATTGACTTTGACACAAAAGAAAATGCTACGATACGTTACGATACGGTTGAAGTTGAAAACGGTATCATAAAATAACATGTATATAACGCGTGCTCTGATTGGTCGAAACCCGTGTTTGGATCAGGCCATCCAGTGAAAGTTTTTTAAAGTGAAATGTTAACACGGAAAGTTGTTATTTTATAAAACAATTACTTTATGGTTTCCGTGTTTGGATGGCCTGATCCAAACACTTGGGAATGTTGCTCGAGTTAAGAAAAGCGCGCAAAATCACTCGCCTTCGGTTCGTGTTTCGCGCGCTTTTCTTAACTCTCGCAACATTCCCGCGTGTTTGGATCAGGCCATCCAAACACGGAAACCATAAAGTAATTGTATATTTACAGTCGAACCCTATGCCCACACATTCCAGACCCTCTTTAACATAGACAACGGGCCAAATTGGGAACAGTGCAAGATAGTCGTACTGAACAATATTCGAAATGGACACCATCGAAAATTTATAATCTATCTCATAAGCCAAGTAAGAATCGATTATTTGAGTGTTATAATTTATTTGAATTTATCCTACCTATAAATATTTCTAATGGGTCCATTGTGATCGACATTTTTTAAATTAATGTAAGAGATCCAGACTGACTCTACCAAACACCACTTGCGTTCTTTCTGCAGTAACACTGGACCAAAAAGAAATAGCCGTACAGCAAGGGTGGATAGTAGCGAAGTAGTTGTAGTTCGCTACTGTAGCAACTACAATTTTCAATTCTGATATTTACCCATACACCTTGATGTCGGACACCCTACAGTCCAGTGGTAAGGGACCGGTCATTATTTATAGCGGGGGGGGGGGGGGGGGAAAAGGGTTGGGTAAACAACATTTTGAGGAGTAAAAAGTTTGGGTAAATGATACAACAAAACAACTCGCTGGGTTGGGTAATAAAAATGTATTGCCATTTCTAAAGCATGACTCACTCAAATTTTGAAGACTTTTGAGCAGTGTCAACAGTCATATGTCAATACAATATGTGAATCAATCAGAGTCACTATCTTGATCATTTATCAGGAGGCGAATGGCGTCCACAAAGAAAGTACATGTGCAGACAACATGAAATTTAGAACGTCACAGAAGTGGTAAAGGACATGCGTGACACCTGAATGCCGGTATCCTTTTGGCCTGGGATGGATATTTAGTTTTAAATAAATTAATATTTGAGGTTGGGTAAATTTTTTTAAAGTTTTTCATGGTTGGATCAGCAAAATTTTTACCAAAAAATTCGGTGCCACCCCCCTCCAAAAAAAAAAGAATAATGACCGGTCCCCTAAAACAATCGAACCGGCAATCGGAAGACATGGGTTCGATTCCCATTGGGGGAGTTCGGATACTTTTATGAATACAACAGCTGGAGCACTACAATCTTTATTTAATATACAGCTATTTCAATTAAGGTTGTCCACGAGCAAAGCGGAAAAGTCGAATACGAGCGCGAAAGGCTGCTGGGAATCGCTTGAAAATTCATTAATTTGTTAACGATTCCCAGCAGCCTTTCGCGCTCGTATTCGATTTTTCCGCTTTGCTCGTGGACAACCTTAATTAAAATAGCTGTATACAGCAAATTCAATTATCTGAACGAATTTTCTCGTTTTAAAAAACCGAAATCAAAATTGAACTCGGGGCCACTTTGTGCTAGATGTTTTCGCCAATTTCACGCGCGTAACGTTAATTACACGCGTGACCAATTATCCAATTATCCAATTACATGACGTAACAATCAGAAATTGACGCTGTTTCCAAGCAACTATCATTTCGCACAATTTTTTCTCGAGAAGAAGTTCTAAAATTGTGCGCTCTTGAAAAATGTTTTTATGCGAAGATTTAGCGATTAAAATAGTATTTTCAATACTTTTCCTGTCTTCGACAGGCAACGACAATAAGTCGATGAACGCCGAACATGGGTTCGTAAGTTCCTTCGCCACAAATAATAACATTGTGAGCGATGTTAACCAAGGACAAAGCAAGCAACAAAAATCCATCACTGATAGCTTTGCTGAAAGTTGTCCTTTTTATTTAAACACTTCAAAGCAGTGTTTTCCAACTGTAAAGAAGAACTACAGTTCGTTTGAACTTTACAATCTGACAGAACAAGCAAAGAAACTGAATCTAACTGCCGAACGGGAAAATCTACGACTTTTTGGTAAGCCCAGTCGAAAAAAACTTTTTTTTGCAAAACGCTTTTTGATTTTTTCGATAAACTTTATACAAGTTTTGTTTTGTTTTCTGAAATTGTTTTAAATCCATACGATCTGAAACTTTTGATGAAATACATTGTTTCTATCAAACATTTTTGTGTCTTGCCTACAATATTTTGATAGTCTAAAGATTTTTTCAGTTTTTTTTCTTCAACTTTTACAGTTTTTGTGATTTTTCTAAAGTATTTTTATTCATCAAATCAAACCAAGTTTCATTCAGGAAATATTTTGTCTGTTTTCGTATTTCTAAGGGAATTTCATTGAATTCGCTCACACATTTATATACTAAAATAAATATATAATTAAATGGATTTATTAAATTATATAAAACATTAAAAGTGTATATTTAAAAGATATGTTTTATATCAATACAGAAACAAATCAAGATTCTGTTGAGTTATTTAATTATTTTCCAATTTAAAATAAAATAAGTATAATTTATATATCACAAATACAAATATTTTCTACTATGTAGCATATCAATGTCAATTTTTTTCTGTATATTTTAGCTGAAACATCAAGCGGAAATAATCAGACCGGCATTGGCTTAAAAGTACAGGCATTCTTTAATGGTAAGACTAAATCTTTAATTTAATGTATTCTTTTTTTACCTTATTCCTTACCCTTTTACGGCTGATTTACACTGCGCAACTTTTGCCTAAAACTGTCGCATGCAACCTGCTTACAACTTGAGTTGTACTGTGTTGTACTGTATAAAACAGGCATACAAGTCGCCTACGAAAACGTAAGTGAGTTGTGTGCTTGATTTGCACAGTACAACTCAAGTTGTAAGCAGGTTGCATGCGACAGTTTTAGGCAAAAGTTGTGTAGTGTAAATCGGTCTTTATACATTCTCTACAATTTGTATTTTGAAACTGAATTTTTCTTTCGTCTTTTTAGAAAGTATCAATTACATATTCGGCCTGACCGAAAGCCAGAAATGTTTCATTGCTGTAACCTACCTTCTTGCTCTCTGGAAATTACATGGAGCTAGACTCTGGTAAGATACACTGACTTTATAAATAAAACTAAACTAACTTTATTTCTCCTGGATAGCTCTATCAGGTCTAAACTATTCTCCGTATGGGTTAAGTGAGGGCCAAAGAGGAAACCAGGGTACCTGGAAACGATCTGTGGGGTTTGGCACTCGTCTTGCATGCGACGAAATTTGATCAGCTAACTGCATCTTGCACTGGAAATTGAACCTCTGTCTCAGAAGTGGAGGGCATATGCACTGATTATTTCCTTTCTACTATTCCTACAGGCCGATCATCTTCAAAGTTATCTGCAAGTTGTTTGGTAAACCTAAGAGAGCAATACTTCGAAAGATCTCCACAAATCCATCTGAGAAAACCATCCATGTCCAGAATGACATAGCACGTGATGAGCATGTGAACACTGACGATTTAACTACCGACTCATCGTGCGAAAGTCATGTGACTGCTGATGAAGAAACAACCGACTCATATGATAGTCACGTGGAGAGTGATGAAGAGTCCACTGACTTATCATGTGAGGAACACGTGGACACTGACTACGACAGCGTTACAACCAGTAGCAGTGTTGATGATCTACCAACAGCCACACCCAACAACCAGACCATTCCACCCACTACCATCCCAACACAGTTGAAACTCTCTCTCAGTTTCAACAGTTCGGACAGTTTATTCGAGGAGAGCTGTGATGAAGATTTCCCAGACGAATTCTTCGTATTTCCAAGCGACTGTGGTAACATCGGATTGATACTGGGTGACGAGGACTGGGAAAAAATAGAACTTGACTCAAGTCAGGAGTCTTTGATTTCGGATGATGGTGGTACTGCTAGTACCGGTATAGAGTCAGGACAGAGTTATGATGTGGCCTGTGATGTAGATAGCGGAGCTTCTTCTCACAGTTCTTGTCATAGCCCTGTTCCTAAGGAGGTGGTATCCTGCTTGAGTTGTAGTTCTGATGGAGACCCAGTCACCGTGGCAACAACAAGTGGTTGTAATGGCTGGATTGAAGAAAGTCATCAAGAGAATGGTGATATGAACTGTGGTAACCATGGTAATGTTGACCAATGGATTCTGGGATGTCGTGACAGTAACAACCATACACCATCTAATGGTTGTACCAGCAATGTCAATTATGGTGATGAATCGACCGACAGCAGCTTGTACGATTGTGATCTGACCAGTGAAGGTTTATACGAGGATAGCTTGGAGCTCTACCCAGGTTTGTGTAAACATTGCTTCACCATATTATCCCACCGCCACACAATCCCTAACCAAACGATCGCCAGACCACGCGACTGACAGACCACCTGATTACCTACCTACCCAACTAAGTAACTAAATACTAACTTACTAACAAACTATACTAAATACTAATGTGCTCTTATTAACTCTAATCAGTTATTTTCATTTCATGAAGGTGAATATGCTGAACATGGAATCAGTTTGCAGCGATCAGAATCTGAAAGTGACATTCGTATTGAAGTCTACAACAACATTGAACCAGAAAATCTGCCAGTTGGTGATATCAATAGATGGCTGTCAGCACACAATGAAAATGAAATCGTCGAAGAAAATATCATGGACACGACATTGGAACAACGTGTGAAAAACCACGTTGTTGCTGCAGCTATCGTTGCTGGGACATTTGTACTGCCCTGTTTTATTGCGGGCAAACTCTTGAAATAAGGGATTTTAATATTTTTATACTACTTTAATGACTTCTCTAAGTTATACATCTACATAATGGTTGAATATCAGGAATTCCGTATATGAACATCTGGGGGGGATTAGGACTTCTCTTCTATATCGAAAGTAACAATTTATTGAGTAATACCGTATATTTGTATATAAAATACATTTGTATATTTATTGGCTTAGGCTGCAATGACAATATAATGAATATTTTAAGTATATTTGTTGTGTGGATTTGTCTGTGTTTTCGAACCATGATAAAAAATACCTATATAGACATTCCGTGTTCCCAGTAAACAAGAGTTAAGCCTGTTTCCACTTCAACCGTATCGAAACGTAGCGTATTTCTTTGCTTCCTGAGTGGTAGTGTGGAACTATTGACTTTGACACAAAAGAAAATGCTACGATTCGTTACGATACAGTTGAAGTTGAAGTTGAAAACGGTCTTTACAGTCGAACCCTAAGCCCACACATTCCAGACCCTCTTTAACATAGACAACGGGCCAAATTGGGAACAGTGCAAGATAGTCATACTGAACAATATTCGAAATGGACACCATCGAAAATTTACAATCCATCTCATAAAGAATCGATTATTGAGTGTCATAATTTATTTGAATTTATCCTAGCTATAAATATTTCTAATGGGTCCATTGTGATCGACATTTTTTAAATTAATGTGTGAGCTCCAGACTGACTCTACCAAACACCACTTATGTTCTTTCTGCAGTAACACTGGACCAGAAAGAAATAGCCGTACAGCAAGGGTGGATGGTAGCGAAGTAGTTGCAATTCGCTACTGTAGCGAACTACAATTTTCAAATAGCCAGTAGTTTTTAACTACTTTTTTAAAACAGTAACTGTAGTTATAGCGAACTACATTTTGCCTAAAAGTAGCCAAGTATAGTTGACTACTTTTCAAACAGCGATCGCTACTCGCTACTTTTTAAAATTGTTAGCAACTTATAGAATAGCATGATATTGAGACACGGTTTGCTTAAAATCAATACTCAATAGTCAATTTGCACGAATAAAAAAACACCGTGCAACTGTTGAAGTGCCATCTTATCTAATCGTAAGTCGATTTGTCATAGGTTACATTACAGCCTCAGCTAGTAGATGCTCCAAATACAGTAAAACTAAAAAATATAGCGTAGCGAAGTAGCGAAATAGTTGGCTACATTTTTTAAGCAGTAGCTGTAGTCAGTATACCTTTGTTCAAAAGTATAGCAGTAGTTGTAGCTGACTACATATTTTTGAAGTAGCTGTAGTTATAGCAAACTACAAAAATTTTGTAGTCAACCCATCCTTGACCTACAGCACATGAACTAGTGGTTAGAGCGCTGTATCGGAATCGCAGGGCCGCAGGTTCGATTCCTGCTAGAGGTCCTATATATAGCTGTTGCATTTTTCACAACTGCTCCTAGTAACTCCTAGTTAGGTCTAACAAATGTTTAAAAATTCCACTCGAAATTTCCATCTACAAATTCCTTCAACAATTAGTTTTATCGAGTGAGATGTCCCAAATCCTGTAGGCTTGCTCGATGTCTCTCTTTCATTGTCATATCGATCCACTATAGTGTACATTACATGACGTAGCACCGTGGGCCCGGGGCAAAAAATTTTCTTTCGACAACAAGCCCTCTCCTCCCCCCCCCCCCCCCCCCCCCCCCCCGTCGACAACTTTTCAGGGCACGTTGTAATCGCTTTCCAGCGACTTTACCTCAATTTTTCATACCAAATTTCGTTACTTTGCCCAAAAAACCCAAATATCTTGCCCCTTGCGCGGAAATATTTCACCCCAAAAAAGGCCATTTGCCACCCCTGCCCCCCCCCTCTCGGCGGCCCTGGTCAGGTATAAATTAAGATCCCATACCTTGCATATAAGTACAAAGAAGTCGACACTACAAGCACCTTGAGATGATAACAATACAGCCAGCAAGCCTTTCATAACAGGAAGACACAGACGCCGTGGTAGTTTCTGGTTACGACTGGGATAAGGCATATCAACGGCTGGCTCTGATGGATTACTGGTTATTAACCTCTTCAATCGCATCAGGTCTTTCAGTGGCTGGGAATGAAAGGAAAATGCACATTTTCAGTACAATAACCTAAATTTAATCTGAAATTAATCTACTCTGATCTTAATCTAACTTTTAATCTGAACATCAAGTAATCTTTCAAAATTAAAAATTAACTTGTTCAATTAAAATGCAATGTTAAGCGTATTCTCATGTAATCTCTAATCTTAATTTAAATTTTATCTCATATTAATCTTATCCAATGTGGATCATAATAATTTCACTTGGCTCGGACAAGTGTCCCTCAAGTGTACAGTTGCTTATTAATATTTAAATGCATTGGTCGTGCTGATCACTTCTCGTAAGACAGGTCATGACCAATCATACTTAACTTCTGGTAAAGCGTGGTTCACACGGGCAATTCTTTCAGCGATTTTTCTCCTCCTGGCAGATGTGATCGAATGAATGACATGCAAAAGACTTCGAATTGTTTAATTCTGAAAAGCAACTCTATACTTTTGTGTGCGAATTCACTCATTTGCATCCGTCAGAAACACAAACTCGCCAGCAAAATTTCTGGTGTGAACCAGGCTTAATTTAAGCTGTTCCAATGATCCATGCAACCTCTCTGCAGATTCTATATTCTTTGGACAAGGCGTAAAAAAACAAACCTGTGGTTCCGGTTCCCGACCGACCCTATTTTTTTCTGCCGACCCTATTATTTTTTTAACGCGATTGACCGTGCGACCCTATTTTCTCCAGGCGGTTGCGGGCTTCTCATACAGCGTGCCAAAATGGCGTCAGTTGTCACACTAATTATTTAACCAAATTGCCTAAATTCGTCCATAGGAAATACGCATCTCTAGTTAATATTGATGTCGGGACTCTACTGCAAATCGCCCAGCAAAAAACCGCCAAAACCATGAAAATATTCAAAAAAAATTTATTTCCGACCTACCGACCCTAATTTTTTCACGATATGAAACCGGAACCACAGGTATCTCTTTTTACGCCCAAAGATTGCTGCAACAAATACGTTGCGAAGCTCGACGATTGCAAGCATATTATAAACTTGTTTCGCACATCAATTTTGCGATTTTTGTGTAAACGACGCACCTTTTTGGCCTTCTGTCTAAACTGTTTATTCCACTGCGTTATTTGAAATGGTGATGGTGGGCTTGACGTAGGTCCATAGTCTTCATACGAATGCTGCATTTTATTGCTTACGTGTTGATGAATAGCATAGAGTCTTCTTTGTCGAGTGGCAATCTGTTTCTTCAGTTTGCGCATTTCTTTCTTTGAACCTTTCAGACCTTTGCACGAATCTTTCAGAGAATCATTGAGAGCGTCATTGGCGGTACGAGGTACTATGAAATCCCATCTTCTGCTGGTGTTGTGATGCTCGTTGGCTGTCTTCGCGTCGCTGTTCTCATACCCTTGCTGATCTAAAATGCGCACATCAAATGTATTATTATAATGAACAAGAAATTAGCCAACTATATACGTAAAAACGTACAAGTTGTTGCAGGTCTGCAAACAAGTTGTTACAAATCTGTTCACAAGCTGTCGATTGATCAAATGGACCATTTGCATTATAGCATGGCTAGAAATCTGCGACAGCCAGCGGTTTGTAATGCAGGCGCACGCACCGTCATTACGTCATGTTAATGAACATATTGAAAAGCCGGAAAGTACGTAAAGAAACGCTCTTTAAATGTATATGCCCAATAAAGACATGCTTCCTTCTCGTCGCCAAACACTTCAAACTCCTTTATATTATCCTGTGGAGTTCTCGCTTGTTTTACTAGACTAATGACTTTAAATGACTTTTTAAAACTGTTGGACAATGGACAATAGCTAAATGATAAGTAAA